GAGGAGAGAATATTTTATTCATCTTTCTGCCCCACCGGGATTCCCCCACCTACCTCTGGGAGAGGAGGCATGGGGAAGTGATGCTAAAGTAAGAATAGCAGGTCCCAGGGGCATAAAGACTTACTTGAAATATATAGAGTGACATTAATTACAGTGTTCTTACTACATATCCCTCTAAGAAAACCACTTGACTGTCAGAACCGTGGTGTGGGGTAGAACATGACCCTATTGCATTTTATGAGCATATCCACCTTGTTTTAACTAGATTCAGAAGATTTATTAATAAGTAATACTTACATTTCTCAGTAGAGTTGACAAAGTACTTTACAAACATGGGTTCATATTTCCCACACAACAGGTGGCATACTTATTTAACCTTTAGTTCGAATATAGCAACATAACCTTAAGTTCAAATATAGCAATTTAAACTGCATCTGTAACTCACAAATTAGATCTCGACTCCAGAAGCATCTGTAAGTTGGCTGCTAAAACTACACATGATCATGTTAGAAGACGATCGTTCAGTTCTTTTTGTAGACCAAACATCTGGGCCAGAGTGAGGGATTGGCTGTGAAAATCTCTATAAGAATGTCCTACATCTGCAGACTGCTTTAGAATGTGTCTGCTTTCTTGCCACGCAGTTTACCTGTGAATTAGGCAGAGCTCAGATGGAATGATACTATTTTAGGAACAAGGAAACTGAGGCTCAGAGACATTGATTGCCCAAGTCACTGAGCAAGGACATTGCAAAGGCAGAACTTAAGCCTGGGTCTTCTTGCCCTGAGGCCTTTGCCCTTCCCAGGGCCAGGAGTGGCTCCCCTGGTTTTAAGGTCAAAATTAAACAAGGGCTCGTGATGGCTGCAAGCAGTTGCCTTTTCTCTCGGTTTGGTTTTCCCTTAATGGGTTTTGATGAGCTTTATGGCAGCGTGGCCTGTGTTTTGTGAGCTCTCAGGGGTGATGTAGAGTTACACGCTGCATTTCCAGAGTCCCCAGAAACTGTTCTTCTGAGTGTCTTTAAGGGGTTTGAAAATCTCTGAGAGCAGCTGACCTAAAATCTACGGAAGGCTTATCTGAAAGAATCTTTGCCACTGAGAGTATCGCAGTGATGGGCACAAGGGTCTTCCCAGGCCTCCCTTCTCTCCTCTCCACGCCTTCTCCTTGCTGCCTCCACTCACGCAGTGGCATTGGCTTGGCCCCTGTCCCTCTGCACCGTGGCCAGTGCTGAGCTAGACACTGGGATAAAGGCAAACACAGCAGACTCTGCCCCGGCCTCCATGGGGCTGACACTGCAGGAAGGGGGGCAGGTACATAATCAGGGAGAGAAGTAAGTGAAAAACCAATAGAGATTCACTAGACGACATGCAGGGTGAGGGGCGGGTGGAGAGTGTGCTTAAGAGAGAAGGGTCAGGAAAGGAGGCATCTCTCTGGGGAGGTGACATTTGATCTGAGACATAAAGAAGGACAATTTGAGTAGAGGATGAGCGAGTGCCAAAGCCCTAAGAAGAGAATGAATTTGCATGTGTCCAAGGGGCATTGAAGGTGCGCCTGGAACACAGTAAGCAAGGGCTCGAGGGGTGTATGGGAGGGATGAGAGGGGGGCGGGTGATTCATGCCAGTCTGGACTTTATTCTAGAATCAATGGAAAACCATCGGAGGGTTTTAAGCAAAAAAGTGATCTAAGTAGATGGATATTTAATTAGATAGATGAACAGATAAGTAGATGATAGATAGATTTTTATAGATACAGATATAAATGGCTGGTGGTTTGAAGAGGCAGATGTAGAACCAAAGGGACAAGATTTTAAGGCTGTTGTTGATGGGGCTCTGGTGAAATACTGGTTGGTGATGTTAGGAGGGTGATCGTGTGAATGGAGTGCTGTGGACACATTTACGATTTCATCTGCAGTTTCTGATGGCTGGGATGTGGGGAAACAGGGAACATCATGACCTCATGACATAGTTGTCCACTGTGGCCAAGGCCGGGTGGTGTGGCAGGTGACCATATGTGCAGATCACCCATAACATGGCAGTCACAACACATCTCCCGTCACTCCGCTGGGGTCCCTGGGAACTGCCCGTCTCCCTTCGGGCTGAGCTTAGACCGCTCTGGGGACTCGAGGTGGCCGACGTGCCCGGGATCCCTGTCGGAAGAGCAGCGCCGGAGTCCACCTCTGCCCCTGATAACCTTGTGTCTGAGCTGCAGTGTCGCACAAGGGCGTGTTCAGAAATTAGCATTTGAAAAGGAGCCTCCTTGCTTTCAGTTTGAGCTGACATGGTCCCTTTTCCTCTGTGGAAATGAAATTTATTAATCATAATAAAACCATCAGATCCTGAAGGTAGAGGTCACCCTGAGGAGAAAAGGCGCCTGTTCATTTACCAGGAATAGTTCAGCGCTGCTGTATTTTCCGTCTGCCCTGGAAGAGAGCATTGCCAATTGTTACCTTGGGCTTTCCACAAAGGTTGAAGCTCTGCCCAGTGTTATAAACAAATGAGAATTTGCAATTGAAGTATGTGGGAGGAAAAGGTGAGAGCTGCATTTTCACGGAATACATTCAGTCCATCAGTATGTCGTCTTCCCGAAAAAGGACACTTTTGCCACAGTAAAATCATTCTCCAAATTCAAAAAAAAAGAAACTAATTGCTCTGAATTTGCATCTTTACACTTGTGTTGAAGGAACACTTAGTACATTTCCAAGGGTTTTCAATTTGCTTTACAGTTTATGTCTTGTTCATACAACCAGCTTTGCTGGTGAAAGTGCATTAAAAATAATCCTATTAACAGGCTTTTTCCCTCTAGACTAATGACAACTTTACTTTCTCACGAAATAAAAATCAATGACAAAGTTATATCTCACGTTCTTTTATACCTATTACTATCGACTTCTAATTACACGGGTCGAGGCCCAGCTTTCATGAGTGACCTCCCGAATGAATGATTTCTTAAAAAATGTCACCATTCTTCTCGTGTTAACATACCCTCTGTCTTGGGCTTACATCTATTTTTGCTCCCAGAGAAAGGGAGAATCTCTGAAGGCCATTTTTGATGAGCCAAAGAACCAGAGTGCGTCCCAAGGAGTGAAATGCCAGGGAGAGGTTTGACTGTTGGTCTCACTGACAGATTTGCCCCAGAAAAGAAACACCCATTCCAGTACTGCTTCTGCGGGTCAGGAGAACACAGTGTGTTGAAGCTGAATGCCTCATCTGGATTGTTCCAGCTTGGCGCCCTTTGAAACAGGCAGGGAGGGCTTGGGAATAAGACCCTTCCAGTGAGACCTGGTAGAAACATTATTTTTTTTTCCACCTGGAGTCTTAGAGCCCAAGAGTTAGAAGGTTTTTCACCCAGCTTCTTCCCGCCTCTCCAGGCTCCGTGGTGTCAGCAATTGTGTCGGACCCATCCAGGACATCCTTGTCAACCAACTACGAGCAAGAAAATTGGAAGCAAAATGGGGAAACGATAGGGAAGGACATGCAAAGTAGACTCCAAGAGATGGGAGGTGGCTTAAGATTGACAGTAGCTGATAGTACAGACACACCATTTCTTATTTCCTCGGTCCTTCATTCTTTAAAGGAAAGTCCAAGAGTCAAAAGCTGTTGATAACCCACATATATCCCATTTGGTGACCGGTACACCCATGCCCCAGCTGCTGTGAGTGTTGGTTGCCAACTGTGCTCAGGTGCTCCCTTCTTCGGAGAATTACCCTCCGCCCAGGAAAATCACTTCAACTCAGAAGTTCTCCACCCCTCAGGGAAACCCACAGCAAATGCTTAGCATACATGAGCATTACAAATCCAACCCATTTGTCTCCAGGTGGGATTCATTCTGGGATACAACTCACGGGATCCGGTCAAAGCTAGTCTCTAGCTCAGGCCATGCGTCTTTTCCCCTTGCCCTGGAACTTCCTGCCTCTCTCTCCTCCTTAGCATGCACTAGAATCTCTATTTCAGATTCTTCTTCCAGGGAACCTAACTTAAGATTACATCTCCGCTTCGATCATTACTGAAAGAGCAATGTTCAAACCACCTCCAAGAGGATATCTGGCAGGTCACTTAAGTAAGGGCATAGGCCACCATGGAAAGAGCATCCGGTTGCTCTGAGAAATTTAAAGATCAGCTCTGATTCTGCCCAGCTCTGTGACCTTGAGCAAATGACTTCACCTCTCTAAACCCTAATTTCTGATGTGTGGCATCATTCAGGCTCGAACACTCAGTAGGCACCGAATGCATCAGGCTTCCATCCCTTCTTTATTTTTATTCTGAAGCCTGTACTGGATGTCATGGCAGTGAAGGAAGGAGGATGGTAGAAAGAGAGAGAAATATTCAAAGATAAGGGAATGTCATCAAGAAGTACTGCTTGAAATGTGTCCCTTCCCAGAACCTGGCCATAGATTGACGAGATAGAAGTTCTAGGGTGATAGGATTGAAATCAAATCAGCTCTAATTATTGAGTAGGTAGTGGGAGTCCCTCAAACCCTTCAAGATGCTTCTATTTGAATGTGTTTGCTCTTTACATTCTAAGATGTTGGATCCTAATTGCAAAGACTGTGTCACTTCCCCTTTTTTGATTCACCCTTTCTGGTCTGATTGGTGACAGTTAAATTAGGAGAAAAGGGCAGTCTCTCTTGAGTGTTAACATGTCTTCTGGGGGTACTGGGCTTCTTAAAACTATTCTTTCAAGTTGTTTTTTTGCCTACCTCAGTATCCAAGGTAGTTGCATGAGCAGTTAGAAATGATCCTATGAGAGAGAGGATACACACACACACACACACATACATGCATGCACACAGCTATACATATATGACCAACCATGTTAAATGGACAAAAGAATGTGCTATGCACAGATGGGCTTTTCTCATGTTATGTGGCAGACAGGAATACGTTTCTTATTTGTGAAGGTGAATAAGGCCCTTCCGCACTGTCTCGGTATTTTGCATTTTATGGTTGCCATCATGACTTTGTAAGCGCATATTATGGATTAATCTTCACCTCTGTTTTCCTTTCAGTTACGGACGAGTTTATGCTGCCGACCCCTACCACCACACACTTGCTCCAGCCCCCACCTACGGCGTTGGTGCCATGGTGAGTACCAAGTCCTCCTCTTCCTCACTTCTTCCCGCCTCCCTTCCCTTCCCCAGCTGGGACCTGCGTACGGGTTGACGGTTGACGTCCTCTCACTTTCCCTTAATTGAATTTGTCTCTTGTGCTAATCTAACAGCAGCTAAAATGCCACATTAATCCTCCCAGTAAACTTGATAAATGTCTTAATTTCTTGGCAATGTAGTGCATGTAAGTTATTATATTTCTAATTTTGCAAGTCTCACCTAGCAGAGCACTTACCTTAATGGAATAATTAGTCATTTTGATAATTAAATCCATCACTAACAGAATGCAGTGTCAATGCAGAACTTTTTTTTTCTTTTTTTTTCTCCCTCCCTTGCCGCTCATTCACATAGCCCCAAGGTTCCAGCCCCAGCACAGACTTCAGAGGAGCTAAGCTGCACACTTCCAGGCCTCTGCTGTCAGGCAGCTGAGAATCTGACTGCCTCTCCTCCCCTATTACAATTCATGTTTAAAGTCATAGTCGCCCAGGAAAGAAAATAGAGAGGGGCACACTTTGTGTGTGTGCCTAGTACATAAGGAATTAGGAGGAATCAGCTGGGTTCGGGGGTTGTCTTTTGTTTTGGGGGGCTTTGGGTTTTTGTTTGGGGGGTGGGGGGAGGGCAAAAATGGGAGGTGAGGGTGGGTGAATTTGCCTGTACTTGTTCAAACTTCTATGCACTAAAACTCTTGAGTACAGTAAGACGTGCCCATCACGTGAGAGCGTATGCAATCATTACAAAGCTTTTGGCATGCAGCTTTCTGCTTGGGATCAAGAATATCAGCCCTTATCCTAAAACTCAATCCCCATAGGCATTCATTTGAATCGCCAATACTTTTAGAAAAAGGAAATATGTTAAGTGCCACCTCGTAGCCATCTAAAGCCATGGCCAGACAATTCACTGGAGCGTGGTGATAGAAATCCAGCCACGATCTGGGAACGACATTCTTTTGCACAAGCTCAGTCACATCAAGCAATCCATCCGTACGGGCTCCCCTCTTAAGAGCAAATTCCACACAGCTCATTGAGCCACGTCAAGTGAGAAGTTGATTTAAATTTTCACCCTGATTTTGCATTCATCCCCTCCGCCTCAACACCTAGTCCACTTGAGCTACGTGTTGGGAAGGAGAGTTGAATTTCCACATTCAATCAGTCGTCCGCATTCAACCTCTCGAGTGTAGACTGAGCTTTTCCCGATGGAACATAGTGTTAATGAATCAAACGAGCAAAGGAAATGAGACAACGCACGGCCTTCAGCCGCCCAGTGCGTGTCCGTACCAGTCCTGTGGGCTCCCAGGACTGGCCGACTAATTGGATTTTCCAGGGGTTTTCCCTACAAGGAGCTGCTGGGGAGGTCAGGATTGGCCCTACTGTTAGTCCTCTGAGAATGAGCTGGGATGGGCAGGGGGTGCCTCCGTTTTGGTTGATTTTGAGTGTCTATTTCCCCATTAGTTTTTTTGATGCTCCACGTGTTGCGAAAGGACAATGTAAAAAACACACCCCTCAAATTGCTTTGTTTCAGAATGCTTTTGCACCCTTGACTGATGCCAAGACTAGGAGCCATGCTGATGATGTGGGTCTCGTTCTTTCTTCATTGCAGGCTAGTATATACCGAGGGGGATACAACCGTTTTGCTCCATACTAAATGACAAAACCATAAAAACCTTCCAATGTGGGGAGAAAGGAAGCTTTCCGAGGCCTGGGTATTGCAATACATGCAGTAGTGCATCATTTTAGCAACTCTAAAATCTAAAAAGAGGAAAAAAAAATTACATTTTTTATCTTATACCTCAGATATTTTGTTCTGTGTATTTTAATATTGTGGGTCTTTAATTTCTGAAGGTTCCGTAGTTTGGTTGCTGGCTGTAGGAGTTTTGTTTTTTTTTTGTGGTTGATCTAGAGAGATGCTAGCTATGAATAAAATCTGGTTTAGGGCCATATCCAGAGTGCTTTATCATGTAAATGAATTATATATGCTGAATAGTAAGCTACTGGGGTTATCAGCTGTTCGGGAAGAGTGTAAGTGACTACAGTAGTCATTTTTTCTGCATCTGCATTATTTTATTTTATAAAAGGGGAAGGGTGGGAGGGACTTAGGGGATTGGGATTGGGGCTCGACTGAAAGAAAAAAAAAAATAGTAACTGATGAATCTAAACGACCCACTGCACCAACGATCATATAGCAACGGTTCTAAGTTACTCACTGTCAGTTCAGGCCAAAGGTTACGCTGTTAAGGGGATGCTTCTAGCAGCCCTTGTGCATCCAAGTTGAATGAAGCTGTGCAAACCCGCCCTTTAACCATTCCCCCCGGCAGTATTCAGCTTCTTAACCAGCCGCTAGTTATTTAGGCAAAAACTGCTAGTTAGGCCATCAACAAGCATTCTTTTTATATTTCTTCCAGTATAATAAATTATTGATATCATTGCTGACTTTTATATTATGGGAGGGAAAAAAAATAACATTAATAAAAAGGTGATAAAAAGCACTGTTTCTATTTTTTTCTTTTTTTCCAAAAAAAGAAAGTAATAAAAACTTAAATTCTTTGTACCAGTTAAAAAAAATGTATAAAATTTACATCTGTGCAGTGGAGTTGTTAAGTTCTAGAAACAGTCTATGAAGCTTTAGTTTTAGCCTAGTAGAACAACTGTTAGAGACAGACGTATAATTTTTATGGAATTACATGATAATCATATTTGGATTTCTAGAAGCATTTTACAAGTATTGCAATCATTGAGTAGAGATAATCACGGTATTTTCATCAGCTTGGTAACTTTTTGAAACATGACTGTGTTATGTGAGCAAGCTGCAATTTTTCAGTCCGTGAGAGCCTGCCCCTCCCGGTCATTCTCCCTGGTCGCCAGGGATGATCTCAAACCAGTAACGTTAGTTCTGTCTCCAAGGCCCAGGACACTTGTCAGAAAGAAGCAAAAAAAGTAGATCTGCCCTCTGCCCCCCCCCCCGACGAACAAAGTCC